TTATAAGTTATGTCATACCTCGAATATATTAGTATGAATAATGAGCAATCCTAAATAATTAAATCTGGGTATCAAAAATAAAAATTTTCTTGAAAATTGCGTTCTATGGAATTATTCTGAATATACTGATTTTTTTATAAATATTAAGGCAAGTTTCTCAAAATGCGTTACTGTAACACAAACAATTATTGCCATTTCATGGTGCTCGATGATATCAAACAATAAACCAATTAACATTGTCATGCGGACATTGTCATGCGATTTACATCCAACTTTCTCAAAAATTATGAAAGGGTTTCTATATTAAGAATGATTTGGTACGCACACATACAAACGAGGGGTATACGACATTTTGCGTGAATGCCTAATCATGTTACAATTGCGTGGGTTCAGTTTATGTTGCGTGTTTTTATTACTCAGAAAAATATTTCAACAGGGGTAAATATGACAAGATTACACATATTACACTTTCATAGAGGGCGCTGATTGTATCTAACTTTGATTAGAATTGTATACTTACACAGACAATACAATAGATCACACATTATATAATTAAAAAAAAATAGAAATCTCGCTAAAGACATGTCCGAAAGCGTGTTTTTAACTACCACGACCGTCACGGTAGTTATATGAAATAATAAACACATAGTGAACTGTCACGAAAGTACGTAACATGTGTACATACAAGTTTGCTAAGGCAGCTCATTATAAAAACCATTTTAGAAATTCCGCTACGGAAATACTCAAATACTCGCCTTTGAAATAAGCAAAATGTAATGTTTCGCGCATATCATGACGTGTCGTGTTTCTATTGGTTGGACTATTAGTACAGGTGTGGTATTTAGTAATATGGTAATATATTGTATTCATTGACACAGATGACACGTGTCTATGTATTATTCCACGTTGTTCTCTCGCAAGGGAATCATTACTCACTTTGGAGCTGTTCGAAGAACCGTTCGCAGCTCTACGATGGGTGGATACGCGACAACTACCCATGCTGGTTATTATAGAGTCGTTTTAGTGTTTGCCCTGTCTTGGGCTGTCCATGGGACCACGAACGGTGAGGAATCATACTTATGTTTGCGTACTGACACGTTCTGTGTATTTCAGACGTTCAACATAAATGCCACTGGCCACATGCAAGAAAAGATTTCTAACACCCACATCATCTGTGGCGCCCATATTCAACGATTTGGTTCAGGGCATTGGTTTAGTATACGGATACGTGATAGTCCTGTTTTGAAACGTAGAACAGATTTGTCTGCGTAATATTTAAAATTGTGCGACGTAAAACAAAAACAAGCGCCCATCATCTACACCAAATCTCTGTTCGGAATGTCGCCAACCTGGTCATAATTGTGGTACATCTCTGAAATTGGACATTTTGTGAAATGATACAAGGAGTGTGATTCGTAGATAGGTTTGGTTCAAGTGCATATCCGTGTATATAGTCTTCTCGTATATTTGTAAAGTCCATAACCTCTGGCACAACGAAACGTACTGCATATGTACCAGTCGTATTGTCACCTAAACTGGAGTGATATTATTGCCATGCATGTGCGTGATTTGTTCAACTTGATTTTCCCCGCAAGCCAGTATGCGCTCCCATTGGCAAGCGAAATTAGTTTCGTCCTGGCTGCAATGTACACTAAATACTGACTTCTAATAGTCCTTCGATGCGTTAAAACCACCTCGGAAATTGCTTTTTTAGACCTTGATATTTTTTATTTTGTATACGTTTTGATTTGCGCTACGAATAAAGTAAATGAAATTAGTATTTTGCGCCTTCAAGCAAGTTGCGACGATCCAAACAGAATGAGTGGGCTCCAGTCAACTGGCGAACACGTGATAATAAAAACATACGATATTTACTATATGCTATATCAATATTATCCCAATGGATCGTATTTTTGTGAAAGATTGGTATTTTTGTCCTGATTTGTAGGAATCTGAAAAACGCGTGTCAAAACTTATTTAGTTTTATGCTGCATTCAAGATGGCGGCCCTCATATAGTAAATATCGTATTTATTTTATTATCGCGTGTGCGCTAGCTGACTGTGGTGGGCTCGATATCGTGGAACGCGCGAGATTGGCTACTAAGGACAAGTCGCTGACAAATTGCAAGTTGTATAATCCCTTATTTAGTGATTCAACAGAAAACAATTCAAAATTTAATCGAAAATGTTCTTCGTGTAGAAAATGTCACATAATCAAAACAGAATCGATAAAATTAAAATGAGCAAAGGCTATTGTTGCTGGTAGATTGGATTAACGATTACCTTGAAGGCACACGTCTCCAAATGCATCAACCGATCTTGCCGTTGGTGACATTCTTGTGGAATCTTGGGGCTCGAGTCATGATCGCCTGTAAATTCAGCCGACACTGAATTGGGTCAGTACATACAAGTCACAGTACCATACTTTTGTTAAAATGATCACTAACATGAGAATTTTTTTCAAACTCGTATTCGAACGATTTTTTCAGATTTCGGCTGCATTGACTGCGAAATAGACTCAATTAAAGGTAAGATCCGATAGAATTGAGTGAGATACAATCTCAAGCGACGTCTGTATGGCGCCAAAATTATTTCGAATGTGTCGAGCTTGTATTCTTTTTGACATCCACGGAATCGAGTGTTGCTAGTTGACTAATGACGAGGCTGAAGGGTCGGGATAAGTTCAAGCATGTGCCTGTACTATTGCTTTTCACTGCTTCGGCGAGAGTCGGAAATCCGGAAACAGTCGACCGTTTCGGGATAGGTGGGCGTGGCTACAACACGAGAAATATCCCAAATTTACTTGGATACGAGTAATCATTTTCAGCAAAAAAATCAATAACTGCCTATTTCAGTGGGACACAGATCTAACATGGGAAACGTGAGGGTGGGCATTGCACAGGCACTTTAATATACCTAGCCAATAAATTGAAAAATTACCATTCCAAGCTCGTACTGAATTCTTACAATTTGTTATTGGCGTATTTTAGCCGAATTGTAAGATTCATTTAATGGCTTTTTGCAACTTTTCAAAACTGATTTTGTGTTTGCCGATGTCAATTTTTTAATTTAGGGGTAACAAATTAGAAACTCTGGGTGGCAACAAAACTGTGCAAAATATTTTCATTTGATTTTTGTTTTGTGCTGATATTTGTTTTTAAAAAAGAATTCGCCCTTATTCTTTCCGCTATGGAAATTTTTCTTGGCTCGTTTAGTGTAATTTTTTGGACTCTGCAGGCCTCAAAATTAATATTACACATAATAACGTTAAATAATCCATCGAGTTCTTGCGTTTTTTCGCGCAAAGGCGTATTGGCTGTTCCTTCTCTAACTGAATATTTACTGTTGTAATTAACAGAGGAGTCGAATTATCTAAAAGTATTTAAATCGTGTTCTATTACCAGGAAGTGACGACGTATGTCTATTAGAACGTGGTTTTGTAAATGTTAGATTACATTAATATTTGTTTTTGTCTGATGGTACCTTATTCTCCGAATGTTTTTTTTTTAGAACTCGGAAACTCTCACGAGAAATGCGACAACACCTGTATTTATCCTTCTGATGGTCTATGCGATGACGGCGGTGATGGTTCCGATTACGATTTGTGTGCGCTTGGTACCGATTGTGATGACTGTGGCGTTCGCACCGCACAACCTCAAATAACAAGTGGTAAGTAAACGGCAATGGACATTATTCGCAAATGACCGCTGGTTGTTTTCAAATAGTGAATAGCTATTTTTTTGGGTTATTTCCGTGACACAAATAGTGGCATTAGGACGTTAATGCCAATACTAGAAGCGCGTTCATTTGTTTCTTCGTCTGGCAATCGAAGAGACGGTCAGCTTCCGAAATTACAACAATGTCGCGCTTTCCCTTGAGTTTACAAAACACTCGTTATCAGCTACCAATAGCAATAGACCTAGTAAGTCTTACGGCATTTTGTCAAAAATATCGGCGTCTGATGGCAGAAATCTGATAATTCTGATGTTTTAGCGCAAGGATATCTGAGGGAAAAGAATGCCTGTCCCTGTAGAGCTGCAAACAGTTCGATAAAGCTCAAAAGCCTATTGGAAGATTGGGCAAAACGAGTCTCGATAGTCTGTGGTCATAAGCGAATTAGTCCTGTGAATCTATTTGCAATGATTGTGAACAAAATACAATGGATCAAGCGGATACATTTTTTCTCGCAACCCAAATAAACCATGAACCAGACGACTTGGCAGAGGCAGTGGTCATCCACGATCAGATTTAGTAGAGGGGTCAAATATTAATATGAATTTTAATACTTGTGGTTGAGCATAACTTTGAACATTTCTAATTTTGTGCATAATTGTTCTACTTGATGCATCACGTTACCTCATGTGGTCAATCACGTTGTGACACTACGTATACCTGCTTATAACAGACATTCACCAACATTATTCAAAGCGTGTAGTTTGTCTCGGCCATTTTTGCCCAAAAGACTATTTGCAAACTAAGTCGCAATTAAATTGTGTACTAATTTGTTTCAGCCCCAGAACCAACCCAAGACGCGTCTCTCTTAACTGTATTATGCGACAATTCGTGCAGCTTTTCAGGCGACATTTACTGCGATGATGGAGGGGACAACAGCGACTCTGACTGGTGCGATCTTGGTACAGACTGTGATGACTGTGGATCCAGATATATCCAGACAACAGGCAAGTTTCTATCGTAGAACAAATTTGAAATAAACTACACTTTAGCGATGAGAATTTGGCTGCACTTATTTGCAAAAATGGTTTGTGATTTGAAAGCTGTTAAAAATAAATAAAAACGTGAGCAGGCTCATCTGTTCGACGGAGTATTAGCAGTGAAATGGCGTACACCAACTCGAATGTTTGTTTACCGTCACTTTAAGATTTCAAGTGATACAAGTGGCGTTTTGGACAGAATTGCTTTTTTGGGAGGGGGACTACCATAAGTCATTGGTGTTGCAATATTAACTCGCAATTCGTGGGCAATTTAAGCTTCATGTGCCGTTGCGTATGCACCTTGTTCAATATTTGGCTTGGCTTGGTTTTACATTTTTAGAAAGCCACAACTCGAAAGTTGCACAAACACGGCGAAGCCAATCCCGTAGAATTAAATCATGTAACAAGAGAAATAATGCAGACCTAATTATGAAGCGTTTACTATTTATCGAAAACATGGAGTACTGCTATCCATGGCAGAATTTACGTTGGGGAAAATTACCAATGCACTCAACTGCAGATTTTCTTAAAACAGGTCAAGTAACTGATGCTACCACAATGATACCAACGACACTCGAGTCAACTGGAGTATTTATGGTTATGCACGGCGTATTTACGACGGATGACCTTGGCGATTTTACGACGGAGGACCTTGGCGATTTTACGACGGAGGACCTTGGCGAGTTTACGACGGAGGACCTTGGCGAGTTTACGACGGAGAACCTTGGCGAGTTTACGACGGAGAACCTTGGCGAGTTTACGACGGAGAACCTTGGCGAGTTTACGACGGAGAACCTTGGCGAGTTTACGACGGAGAACCTTGGCGAGTTTACGACGGAGAACCTTGGCGAGTTTACGACGGAGAACCTTGGCGAGTTTACGACGGAGAACCTTGGCGAGTTTACGACGGTACTGCCCACCACCCTGGCGGAAACTACGGTACTGCCCACCACCCTGGCGGAAACTACGGTACTGCCCACCACCCTGGCGGAAACTACGGTACTGCCCACCACCCTGGCGGAAACTACGGTACTGCCCACCACCC